TTGGTCAAAAAAGATTTGTACTTTGATATTTTTATTAGGTAGAATCATATTACGGTAGAATCATATTACTTTTCTCTACAAGGAATATTTCCACGCATATGAAATGTGTATCTATTATTGACCACACTGTATAGACGTAACGCATAACCGAGTATTACGAAAATTTGCGAAACGCGTCAGTGAAGAGAAGAAAATTCGTAAAGCAAGCTGCACTTGTTCCTCCCACTTGGAGGGTAAAGCCGATATCTCGGTGTTCGCCAGCGTTATCCATCCCACGCTCTTGTACACATACGTACGCGTATCAATTAACACGCGCTACAACGGATCGTGCGTACGACGTGCGCAATCGCGGATTGCGACTGATATACATATACATACATACAAACGTCACCCACGCATACGTGCTCGCAAACGCACGGCCGCGAATTTTTGCCGCACCGACGCCGGTAGCATTGGCTAATTTTACCGCGCGGATCGCGCATGCAAGTGGAACGTTGTAATTCTACAATTTACGAGCAATTTATGCGGGGAAATGGACCCCCCATCAACTTCGACTTCTCTTATTGTCTCGCGATTTCCTCCGAACACTTTTGTACAATAACTGCATATCTCTTGTACAAACAAGTTATTTTGCATTTTCTAAATTTGGTTCTCTCAGAATGTAATTAGAATTATATCGTAATTATATCATAAAATTATATCATAATTAAGAATCTAAAATAACGAAAATGTGATCAAACAAAATTATATACTGTTTTTACATCTTTTAATATTTCACTTTAATATTTCATGAAGCATGACTTACAAAACGGAGAATAATTTCAATGTTTAATAGGATAATTAAAATTTATATATAAATATTATTTATATAAGAGTTAACATTTTTAAATGATGCTTTGCTTGTAAATATGAAATGATAGATTGAAGCAGACAGCAAAACATATATTTCAAAGGTTACATTGCCAAGTTTAGGATTAAGAAAAATTATCCGTATTATGTATTACAACACAATCGTAGAAGAGTTGGTGTTCTAATATTAATCTTAAGTTTCCGCATATTAATGATTGATAATTACAATAAAAAACTAATTCGATAAAATGCTTTTATAATTAGAACTATAGGTAATCATTTAATAAATATGAATATTTTCTCAAACTCCACAAGAAATATACTTTAGTATTTTTATATATTCCAAATTCTATTCTTGTTAAAAAATAGACATCAATAATTCATCTTTTCGTTAATTAAAAGTGTAAAATTTAATTCTGTCCAAAGTGAAATCTGTGATAAGGGCTATATAATTCTATTGTATTTCGAAAGCTATTTCAAAGATGATTTGCGCGGATTTTCACGGGATGTTATGCGGAGTATAATGCGAATGAACATTCGTGAAGCTCTCACGTCGCAAACCGCGCGTGCATATCGTTCGTAAATGGATTGACCCAAAGAAAACCTCTGAAATGACATAAATAACGACGGTGTGTGGGCCGTATCGACTTACGTAACAATACGCGCTGCCGTCGCCACCGCCGCGAACCTCCGCAGAAAAATCACGCAGGAAGATTAAGCACACATAGTGAGAATGAAACGATCGCGCTCATGGCACGATCGTTACAAACTTGGAAAAATGCAAAGACCGGGGAAAGTCAGGAAACGTTCGAAGTCCATCTGTGTAGCAGTCTAATAGAATATCGATCGCGTGGTTATCAGCGAATTTTTTCATTGTCGAAGAATTTATAGATAAAAGGAAATACGGATAGCCTGAGACACCCCGCGTATTTCTATATAATTTGCTTTTTTCCGAAACAAAACAATTTTCGATAATTTTTATTTTAAATAGCTTATTATACTGACGATTATTTTTTTATTTCTGAAATACAAGTTCACACATTTATAAAAGATAAAAAAGAAAAAATTCTTTTAGAAAAATTTCTATATTCATTCCTGACGTCAACTAGCGACGAAATAGTTGTCACTGGCAGGGTGCCTAGTGAAATCGAAAAGATAAACGTCACCGAATAACATTACTTTTATGAATTTAATACTAATAATTTATAATTATAGACATAGTTATGAGATGTAAAGAAATATTTTTTTACGAAATGCCATCAGGCGAAAAAGCCGCAGTTGCGCAAAAATCCCGCTTCAATTTCTCTCTTTCTCTCTCTCTCTCTCTCTTAACTACTTCTGAGAACACAGGAACTATTCCCGGTTGTATACAAAAGAATGGAAACATTAGGAAATAAATAGATCGCAACATTTTGCTGCATTTTTTACATTGCAAAAGCTTTATTAGTAGCGAATAAATTGTTTTTTGAGGTCACATAAATGATTAGAATATCAAGATTAGACAGAAAATTATTTACATTACATTTTTTTAAATATTACATAATAGAACAAAATAATAATGATAGAAATTATAATAGAAATTATAAATAGGAATGCCGAGCGAAGAAATACACATAACAACTTAAATGAATGCAAACAGGTGACGATTGCGCTTAGCATTGCGCGCCGGTATACGGCTTCACTACTCGCTCCGCGAGCGTTCATAGATATGTACATCCACTTTGGGTTCTTAACTTTCGCTATTAAGCGATTTCGCTGAAACCGGTACTTGTGAGTAAAGTTTGTAAAGCGCGGCGAGAGAGAACCCGCCAGACTGCGGTGTTTATTGCGCGGAAAAAGAGCGGCAAGCCGCAGCGGCGTTTCATGGCACGCGTGCGTCCGCACCTTTGCTGGATTAAATCAGCGATTTCTATATTTGCAGATGATAAATTGTCTATGAATGCGCGCACGAATGACGTGAGGCGGTTTGCTTTTTTTTTTTTTTTTAATATATATATTTAATAAGGCAATAAAATTCCGCGATCGATGCGACACGCTTTATACTTGGCATTTACGTGCCCGAGAAAGGCTATATGAAACGCACAACCGCGTAATCATTACAAAAAAGAAATAACTGCAGATCTGGGGATTGGCAAGAGAGCGTTTTTATTGTTTTATTTTTGTGTATTTTCGGTAATCGAATAAGAAACCTTATTGCAAACAATAATTGCAATTGATATTCTCATATGTTTAATATTATCTTTACTGTTATAAACTAAATGAATATTATAATTATATTATGTTACATATATACTCTATTCTTATATATTTATATCAAATTATCTCATTCCAAATTTATATTAAATAATAATTACCGATATGCGAATTGTAAACACCGAGGATGTTATTTCAAACTTGTGAATAAATATATCTCACGGGAGTCGAGCAAAATATGAGTAGAGAGCGTTAAACATATCAATCGATACTCCATGACAAGATCGTCGTTACATCACCCATGGAAATGATTTGATGCGAGTTGGCAAATAGAGTTTACCGGTTAGCGGACCTAGCGCTTCCGGCAAAAAAAAAAGTTTCGAAGGTTCCGGTAACAACCGACGTTATAGCCGTAAAACGATGAAATCAATGCGTAACGACCGTGCCGACGCTATATTTAGCGTGCGAGAGTACAGGTAATTCCTATAACCGTCCCGGCGCATTGACAGGTGCAATTTATCTGAAGCCTGAATGCACGCTGTGCGCGAGCCTCTGTTTTAAAACGCTCGAAAACTGATTATTCGCGCTTCGACATCGCTTCCCTCCAATTCGCGATACAGTAACCTCGCACAGACTGCAATGTAATTGGCCAAGCGATATAAAGCGGCGTCAAAGAATAAAGGAGATATCCATTCGATCTTTTAGTTATCGATTTTCAATCGTTATTCAGTTCTCGCTTTGTTACATAATCAATTAATCCGTTTAATTTTGCGTTTTAACGTCGAATCAAAATTCAGAAAAAGCAAGATTTAAATATTTTTCGAATTTAAACGACTAATAAAATTTTATCGTTTAAATTCGAAAATTCAATCGCTACTCAAACGAGTCTTATTCTCATTTTTATGAAAAAGAAAAATTAGCTTAGATTATTGCTGAAATAATCAGACGGAGTTTCGGACACCGTGTATACGATGGCGATTTCGTCATGCACCGTCATAATATCGCGGGGGCCAAACGAATCACGCGAGTATCGTGCGACGGTATATACACGCCATCGCGCATATATCCGCGAATATATCACGCAAATGCACGTTTACGCGAATAACGCTTCGGCATAATTATGTGTGTGCGTGTCGCTCGCTGGGCTGCGCACATATCCGCGACACGTGCGTGCGCGCCGTTTCACGCATTAGGCAGCGGCAATAAATACAGTCGAACGCGGGAGAAGGAATAATAAAAGATAAGCCCATATCGTCAGCTGATATCGGCCGTGCATCTCCGGATGTGCTCGGATGCACCGGTATTAAATGTTGGCGACGAGCGCGCGCTGGTAAACATGCGTTCACAAAGTGCGTCGGTGTAAAGCGCGCGATGCATCGATATGCTACAAAACAACAACACTCTTGAATAATAAATCGCGATTACGCGTCAAAGAATCGCGTCATTCATGTCGCTCGCACACCTCCCAACGAATCGTCCTGTTAAATGTACGTGTTTCGCAATAGATACGTTCAGTGCGCATGATAGTTATTCATTATAAAAAAGTGAAATGATTTTTTCTTAAATAAATATCGAGTTATGAGTGATTTTTAGTGTAAAGTGAGTAAAACATTTTTAAGAGTCTCAGCGAAACACATTTAGGACAGATAACAAAATCTTTTTTTTTCTCAGTCTTAAGCGATCTTTATTTTAATAATTTGACGCAAGATATTTAATTTTAACATTTAAAAAACTATGAAAAGACGTGACGTATTTAAATCTTTCGGTGAAGAAAAATTATTTCAATTTTTTTTGTACGAAATATTACTGTGTTGTCGAAAACACCGTGTTTTCTAAATACGTTGTGTAGCAACCGAAAGAAATCGCGACGCCTGGGCCACGTGATGCGGTGTTCTTAGGAATTATTTACGTTATCGGTCGCGAGTTCCGGCGGTGTACAGGTTTCTCTTATATAGCAGGGTTGCGGGGTGCAGTTCAGACATGGGAAGTGAGCATTACTGCCTGAGGTGGAACAATCATCAGAGCAACTTGCTGGGTGTGTTCAGTCAACTGCTGGAGTCGGAGTCGCTGGTGGACGTGACACTGGCGTGCACGGAGGGACCGTCGATACGCGCACACAAGGTAGTCCTCTCCGCGTGCTCCAGCTACTTCCAGGCCCTGTTCCTCGACCACCCGAACCGCCACCCCATCGTCATCCTAAAGGACGTACGTTTCGCCGAGCTACGTACCCTCGTCGACTTCATGTACAAGGGCGAGGTAAACGTCGAGTACTGCCAGCTATCGGCCCTCCTCAAGACAGCGGAGAGCCTCAAAGTTAAGGGTCTAGCGGATATGACGAACATCAACGCGGCGGTAGCGTCTAGGGAGGAGCAGCAGCAGCAACAGCAGCAGCAACAGCAACAGTCGCAACAACAGCAACAACAACACACAAGCGCCTCCGATACGTCGCGGGAGCATCATCGAGAACGAGAACGAGAACGAGAACGAGATCGAGACCGAGAACGAGACCGAGAACGAGAACGAGAACGAGAACGAGAACGAGAACGAGAACGAGATCGAGACCGAGACCGAGACCGAGACCGAGACCGAGACCGAGAGAGCATAAAAGAGACGAGCGGTAAAGATAGGGAACGAGAGTCGAATGTCGCCGGGGTGTCGGCTGGCGCTAAAGAATGCGAGCAGCAGCAGCAGCAGCAGCAGCAGCAGCAGCAGCAACAGCAGCAACAACCTAGCAGCATCGCTCAAAACACTCCCAGCGAATCCGTGGATGCGGTGGACATGACGGATTGTCCGCCGTCGCCCGCGGGACCCGGTAGTCCGTGCCCGGGACCGCTCGCCCTCGACCGGCCCAGGAGGGACTCCGAGGACGCGGCCAGCCTCGAAGAGACGAGAGCCGGCTCTCTCAGCCCGATCTCGGTGCACAGCGGACCATCCGACATGAGCCTCAGCAACAATACAGGCGGCGGCGCGCCCGGCGGCGTGCTGCCGTTGAATCTGCCACAGAGCCGGCTTCCGTCCCCGCACAGTACCGAGCCCCTCGCCGGCCCGTCGGGCTTACCCCCGGTTCAGCAAGTTCCGCTAGTAAGTATTTTACGATAAGATTAATCTCTCAGAGTGGAAACTCAATCCTGATCCGGGCAAGTAGGATCCGTTGAATCTAGAAGCTCGGCTGACATAATATTTTCATTTAGTATTTAGCAGGAGAAGGCCTGAGCGTTAGAATAATCAAATAGATCTTTTGTATATATTGAATGGTTAAATATTTAATAATTTACATATTATACATACGTAAAAATATTTATATAGAAAGATATTTATGCAAATCTAACGAATCTTACTTGCCCTTCTTCTTTATAAAATTATCAATTAATTTTGTTTATCGATAAAACTTCTGTCGGTATACATTGAATTTAAATTTTTAATTAATCAAAAAATCTATCATTAAAGTTAACGTCGTAGATTTTCAGATGCATTATAGAAAAATAATATACGAGTGCAAACATAAGCTTAAATTCGATAAAGTTTTGTCACGGTGATGATTTTTTTTTTCTGCACATATAAAACATCAGATTTCTAACGTAAAAATGGTATTACGAGAGCTTTTGTGCTTTCAGCTGACACATTTATTGAATAATTTTATTTCCGATCGGTTCAGCTGAAACATCGATAACTAACGTCGCGATTATCATGCAGAAGGTAAACCGACGATAATTTCAATGTTATCTGTCGATAGTGTCGCGTCTGATTTTCACGGTGTGTTTGTTACCTGGATGTAAATCCGATGCACTCTTTTGTTGCAGTCCCTGAAAAAAGAGATGGACTGGGAAAGGTCGACCGAGGAGCGTAGCGCGAGCAGCGAGATATCCACAGACTACAGACTCCCGCCAGATCCGGTGAGTGTCCTTTTTTCCGGCGAAACGTATATATATATATCTATATATCTATATATTTCCAATTTATTATTGATTACTTTTTATTCTCGTATATCCTCTCTTTGCTCTGCATTTCTATACATATATACATAGACTATTGATAACCGTTATCGTCTCGCTCATTCGCAATCGTCGGCAGGAGCGGCGCATTGCAGATGAGACGACGATGTACTTGCGCCAAGTTCCTTTGAGTTGCAACTGCAATTACATATTGCAATGCATTGTATATCGCGTTACGGTCATCATCATGACCGAATCACGGCGGATCGTTCGTGACGCGCCACCCGGTGATGATATACGCGGCTTTGAAATATAAGTCAGTACATATAAGCGTACTTTGCTTCACCCGAAAGTCCGACGGTGATCGCATACGCACGTATACGCGCGCACGCACGCATACGTGGTGTATATGCGCCGAATTCACTTTGCATGTGGGTCTCTTGCATGTGCCCAAGTGCTTTGCTGTTTGCTGCTCTCCCTGCTAATTTGATAGAAATATCGCGTCATTAACGAAATTGCCGTTCGTGCGGTGTCTCGAGGATCATGATCAATGGTCTCACAGCAAACAGGACACTCGTTCGTTCCATTGCGCTTGATTTGTAACAAATTCCCCCGCCGACAGTAGCCACCCCCTTTATGATCGAGCTCTTTCAATGTTTCGACGCGAGACATGTTCTAAAACTCTTCGCCAGTAACGTCGATGCTCTCATCGCTTGTCGTTGACGTACGTCAAAGCGTTATTTCAAAAGCATCCTCAACGTAGCTTTCGTTCGGTAAATTACGGCCGTGACTTTTCACTGCGGCTACAAAGAGAGAGAGAGAAAGAGATACGCGCGGTATATTGTAAATATTGTTCCAATGATGATCGAGGAAAAGAGAAAGGAGAGGAATAGCAAAGAGACTCAAAGCTGTCGCGACGGAGATTTTGACATTTTGAAGACTAGAGGATTTTACAAAAAAAAGGGCTATAAGTGAAAAATGATTTATCCGCTGAAGAGTTCTTTATGAAAGGTCGAAGAAGCTAGTTTGCGAAACATTTATGAGATATAATATAAATAATAAGGAAGATTTTTCGCGTTTATTGTCTAATTAATAATATTGCTTTGTAGAACTTTTTCCCCGAAAATATTCTTACTTGCAATACTTTATAGCTTTCTTTGTATAAAGTCTTCACTTGCGTGTCATATCCGACGCCAGTTTGGAAATCTCGTTGGGACATAATAAATGCGAAAAACGAGATCGTGCATGCTCGTCTACTGTGGCGAATATATTGTCTTCTTTTCCGAACTAATTCACTGTCCATCACGTCCCTCATGTATATTCCCTCGTTTTCTCTCTGCCTTCCGACGCATAAACATATATATCCAGCCTGTCTTTCTCTCTCTTTCTCGTCCCTGTTTGAACATCCATCTTCTCGTCTTTGCCTCTTTATCCCACTTTATCCGTCGTCCGTCGATTTCTAAACGCTACTACAGAGGTGTGAAAATTATTAGATCAAAGCGAATTATTCCGCCGATATCTCCCTAAATAGGATAATTATGTAGAGTCACACTTAAAACGCGAGCGTTACAGCGTAAACAAAACGCATTAGAATGGAAAATGCTACATACATTAAGGATCTCTAATTACACAATTTATAATTGTCTAAATAATTGAAAAATACGAAACCTTCATCCTAGAATCCGATCGGTTTTTCACACCTTTGTATCTTCCACTATCTCGCAACGGTTTTTTCTACTCCTTCTGCACAGCATTCTTTCCTCCGCTACGCGTGCAGCTCGCGCCAAGCGTGTACTAGCTGATCGTAAAAGCTCGACCCCTTCCGTCTGTGAACTCCATCTCCACGTACTTTGAGGGGACCGAGAAAAAGCGCTCGAAGTTTACCATTCGAGAGAGACGGAAAAAAAAAAAAACTGACAAGCGAAAGAGACTACGAAAAGCCAGACGAATCCTCTCCCGTCCTGCCAGCCTGTCTTGCTAGCTCACTGTCAAGAAGTTGACCTTCGTTTTTGGCCATGGTTGTTTTTTACTACATTTATATATATATATACATAAATATATATACATATATATATACACATACGTTATGTATCGCATACCGTTTGTACATTGTGGTATAAATATCTATATATATTTACATATATAGTTTTTGCAATATATATATAAATATTTATACATTATACATATATCTATATATATATATTGGAAAATTTATTGACATATTCATTATACCATTTGTTACTTTGTAATATCTGTATTTCGATTTGTCGTTTTGAGTGCAATGTCTTTTGCTACGGCGAATAAATTTTGCGGCGCGGCACATACGCTGCGAGTACAATTAAAGGGAGGAGGGACGAGAGGGGCGGGTTGAGAACGAGGCTGTGAGGGTTGTCATGGACCTGTATAGACATATATATCTGTTGCTATTTTTATCTACGTATATATATTTATTCATTTATTTATATATATGCAAGATGTCTCCCCCGGAAATATCGTCACCCATTTTATTTATAGATTTCTTGACCAATTTGAAATCAATCTTACTTCAAAATAAATTTATCAACACGCTTCTTTGTAATTTCAATATCATATATACATACATAGTGTCAAATATCCTTGTAAGTTTCATAATAAGATTCTGATAAAGTCTCTGAAATTAATTAATGAAATAGTTTTTATTTTTTATTTGCACTGTTTACTTTGTCGAGAATTTGTTGATTTTAGTCATTTATAAATTAACAACTCTCTTAAATAAAATATTTGAAAAAAAAAATTAAAGATATTTATGTTTTCAAATTGGTCAAAAAATCATAGATGAAAGGAATGGCGGTAATTCGGGGACACCCTGTATACATATATATATCAATACGTCGTGACACACTCGAATAGTTTGTCATACATGTGCCTGGGGTGCGCGGCGCGCCAAACAAAAATGAGCGTCAACTTCTTGTGAATACCGTCTTGCGTGCTGCCGAGAAGCGTCAGCTTCTCGCCACGCCGGAGACACTTTCTCCTCCGAACGAATAGAATTTGTGAATTAGACACGAAAGGAAAAGAAGATAGAGAAGGAAACATAATGGAGAGACAAAGAGAGAGAGAGAGACAGAGAGAGAGAAAGAGAGAGAGAGAGAGAGGACCTGGTTTAGTCGCAACACGTGCTTACAGTAGTGTCGAAAGAACGAGCTTGCCTGTTCTTCCTTTCTTTATTTATTTATTTTTTTTTACCGAAAACTTAGATGCATTAGAGAGAAGCGAAAGAAGGGAGCACGATGCGAAGCGGAAGGATATCTTTGTTTTTTTTTCTTGTCCATTCGAGGTAACCGCGGCGCTCGTCTGTTTCCGAAACGATGCGCCGCGGTTTATATATATATATATAGATACATATATTTATATAATATACATATATACATATATGTAATATATGTGTGCATCTGTGTATCCTGCGAATCGAGTAGTGCCGGGACGAACGATTTGTCGCACATTATTGCGGTATACATACGGTAGTGTAGTATTGCGGTATATAATCAGTACTAACGTACCGTCGGGATGCTCTTTCGGAACTAGATCGAAAAAAAATGTTTTCAAAAAGAGAAAAATAGAACAATAACTCGAAGTAGATTAAAGTAGAGACCAAAAAAAAAAAAAAAAGAAAGAGAAAGAGAGAAGAGAGACTAGATAGAAAGAGAGATACAAAGAGAGAGATAGAGTCGGAGATGAGTCTTTCCCGCGGGGGTACAGAGCACCGGAGGGAAGACAAGAAGTTGATGTTCTTGTTTGTTTGGTTGCAGGAGTTGATGGGTGTGGATGAGCGGGTGTTTGCGTGCATGTACTGCGGTGCCTCGTTCCTCCACCAGAGCAAGCTGACGCGGCACATCCTCTCGCACAGCCTCGAGTCGCTCAAGTACCGCGAGCAGGCGGCCCACC